CGCTATGAGTCGGGGCCGACTCGACAGCACATAACAACAACAACAACAACAGACACTGTGGTAACACTGCACAAATTCACCACCACCCCCTCCACAGAACACACCCTTTTTTGGACTGTAACACTCATTCTCCTAGCTTCTGGGAGTGTTGATAGCTGGCAGCTTCTCCTCCATGCAATTACTCTGTACGGAAGAAAGGATGTCTTACTCAAAATCACACTCTCTTCCCTGGATCAATACATATCCAATGATGGCTCAATGTAGGATGAACAAAGGTACAGTTTTCTTACCCCAATTTGGCACAACTTTGTAAGGCCATCTCAGCCCAAGAGCTCCCTACAGGTTGGCTGAGATCTTTGTTGCACTGCAGCCCAACTCCTCTCTCTCTAATTTCCCTTCCTCTACTCCTCTAGGTGTTGGTCTTGAAGTCCACTTTGATCTTGAAGGCAGGAAGGAATAACCTTCCTGCAAACAAATCTCTTCCAGAGCTACATCCTAGGGGACCTAGCCTGTGATATAACTCAACAGTGTGTGTACAATACTGTATAAGAAAGAATCATCTCACTAGTCATAATAACCAAACAACCCAATATCATCCACCAGCAGAACAGACAAATAATTTGTGATATAAAATAAAATACCATGAATTCCATTGAACAAACTACTGCCATGTGAAACAACTTGAATGAATCTCACAGACATAATATTGAGTGAAAGAAGCCAGTAAGCAAGGAATTTATACAGTATTATTCCATTTAGATAAAATTCAAAAATGGCCAAAGCCAATCACTGCTGTCAAAATTCAGGCTCAGAAGCTCAAGAGAGGTCAAGGGCTTTGTTCATGGTTCCACAGGGCTAAGAGGCATAGCTGCTATTTGAACCCAGACTTGCTTACTTTCTGCTCCTGCTCCATTCCACTGCACCACATGGTCTCTCATACTATTCAGAGGTACAGAGATATGGAAGCATGCTGGAGAATGAGCTGATACTGGAAACCCTGCCTAAAGAGTTTCATCTTAGTTATTTTATTCCTCCAAGTAAGCACTCAAAGAAGAAAAACAACAAATGCTTTTATCTGCAAGGTTTAGTTCTCTGAAGGCTATGGGTGCAGAAAGTGGCCATGGAGGGGGACTAGTGAAGGTATGTTGGTGAAGAAGAGGAGAAAAGATGCACAGAGGATAACTTACACAACATAATAATGGGTCCTTTAGGTTTGTTTGTGAGGCGCTCTGGTGGCACATTGTAGTTAAAGCATTGAGCTGCTAACCAAAAAGTCGGCAGTTCGAACCAATCAGCTGTTCCATGCTAAAAAGATGAGGCAATTGGCTTTCAAAAAAACAGCCTTGGAAATCCTATGGGGCAGTTCCACTTTGTCCTCTAGGGGCACTGTGAGTCAGAATTGACTTGATAGCTGTGGGTTTTTTGTTTTTGTTTTTCCTTTGGTTTTAGGTTTGTTTGTGGCCAACTGGAATAAAAATATCTCAAAAATTTGCCACAGGAACATAAATACCTCCCTTCCTACAAAACCCTGATATAATTACCAGGATCTTACAAAGATCCTTTCAAACCAGTTCATTCCCTTCAGTTCCTGCTGAGACTATGCCTTTCCACCAGATACTGACTCAGAATCTACATTTTAATAAGCTCCCCAGGGGGCATCTATAAGAACATAGATTCTGATTCAGTCTCTCTGGGGTGGAAATGAGGAGTTCTGGTGGTACAGTGTTTAAAGCATTTCGCTGCTAACCAAGAGGTCTGTGGTTTGAATATACCAGCTGCTCGGTGAGAGAAAGATGAGGCAGTCTGCTTTCATAAAGATTTACAGCCTTGGAAACCCTATGGACAGTTCTACCCTGTCCTACAGGATCGCTATGAGTCAGAATCAACTAGACATGGCAGGGGGTTGGTTGGTTGGTTGATTGGGATGGATCTACAAATTCTCAGCAGAGGTCATACTGGAATGAACCAGTTCAAGCCCTGCTTTCAAGTTTGCTTTGAATACAAGCACCTTTTACATATTGGGGTCTTACTTCAAAGGCTCCATTATTTCCCTTTTTCAATGGCCTAAGAAAGATATACAGTCGTGCCTTAGTAGGAACAGTGAAAGCAACTCTCCCCAAATTGTAGAGCAAAGGTCAATTTTCAGTGCTGCTCCTTTCATGGTCAGAAGCCCAAGAAAGGAGGAATAAATCACACAGAACCCTCCCCAGGGCAGCACACAGTAAATTCAGGGTCAATGTTAATTTAGC